TTAGCAAATGGAGAATGCAAGTCATCTGTTGTTAATGGACCACGCAGCATTAACAATACGACGAATGGTCTTAGATTTAAGTATTTCAATCGCAGAACTCTTAGGTGGTTCCCACAACCTTAACCGTTATGTTTGAGGGATATTTTTGTACAAAACGCGTTTATTGAAAACGAAATGAAAAATTATCTCGTCGTAGTTATTGTTAGCACTACAATAATAGCTACTTTGGATTGACTTTTCCATTGTTTCCAATTTTATTGTTAAAGTTATCAATGAAGGGTTTGACATAAAATTGGTATATTTGACGACAAAAATGTTCGTTATATTTACAAAAATTGTTAACAGTTTTTTCAAAGCAAAGGGGCGCGAAGCAGCTCTTGCAAAACAAAATTTTTTGAAAGTATCTCCTTGGCCGTACCTTACCTTAATTCCCAATCGATTGAAACACGTAGAATTTCTTAATAGTACTAATTTAAAGACAAAAATGCTCCAATTTTAGTATAAAATTTTTTATAATCTGCCAAATACTGCTTGCAATATTTATTATTATTATTATTATTATTATAAATTTAGCCAGAGAATAAATTCTAAGACTAAAGTCTTAAAGCACTAGCATCTAGGGCTATCGGCTTTTATTAAAAAACTCTACCGCACTTGAGGTTTGAACCCACGACTATTGAGTTGCTAGTCGAGACTCTTGCCTACTCGGCCACTCAGGCGGATGCAATATTTGTTAGTTGATCAATTGTGATGAAAATTTACAAATTTACATTATTATTGTTTGGTTCACTGTTTGCGCTTGTGCATTGTCCTGAAATTAGATTACCGTAGCACACCTGTGGCGATCGTATTACTTGCATTGTTTCTACCATTGAGTGTTAGAAGTAGCGCCAGATTTTGGCAGCTAATGACATAGGCTTCACACCACACCTTTCTGGCTGAACCAGGAACTTGTAAATTTGAAACGTCGCACAATTTTGACACATGTCGTTTGAAGACTGCTACTATACAGAAGTCATATGTGTATTGACACGCCTTTAATTAAAAAAACAAAAATTAGAATTAATGTTTGTTTAAATTCGTATTCGATAAAGTTGCAGACATTAATACGTCGTTCGCATAAGGTTGTGCGTCGTATCGAACTCATGCTTGGATGTTTAAGTACTTGCTCCTGCGTATATTTTTGTTTATATTATGTATTATGCTTCACATTTGTTGCTAGAAATAACGGATGATGCTACTATTGTAGTTAATATTTCGTTTGTTATTGCATACGACTGTCCTTCACTTTCGCATGTCTTTTGTCGAATCTTGAACTAAGGCGTAGATGGGAGAGAGCAGAGCGTGAAGAATGCTCTCATTGTTCTCGTTTTTCTCTAGTTTTCCTAAACTGACATACGAAAGATTTTCGCTTTGTATCTGTTAACATGCCAGGAGAAGACATAAAATCGTGCTTATAGTAATTAAATTAATTTATGTAGACAATAAATAAGTTAAACGGACAATTTGAATTGAAATGAAAATAATCATTATGGTTGCTCACATATACTTCAAAAAGTAAACAAGTCGGTGCCTATTATATTGAATTGTTTCTTTTTTTAATTCATCCCTCGGTGTTTCATAGAAAAATGAGGAAAAAATTATTGGCTTTAGCAAAATTAGTCAAAGTTTATCAATTTATTTTCTAAATTTCATGGCTTATGTTTTCGAATCATTAAAGGAATATTCTTGTCTGTGTGGCATTTCCTATACGTCGGCTTCAGTGCTATCATTTCGCTAAAAATTTCTTGACAACTAACATCGAACTGTTTTTTGATTTTATTTGTTGCATTACATACGGCTTTCGCTTGTTTTTCGATGATAAAAAAATCAATAAATGTGATATATTTCAGTTTTATTCTGTTCTGTGATGTATTTTATTTAAAAAATAGTAATTTTATTCATCATCATCATCATCATCATCATTTGGCATTTTCGAATTGTTTTAAAACATTACGAAATATAAAATGAAAATGTAACAATAAAAAAGTTTAAAAACCTTGGTATATTTTGCATGAAAAATGCGCGATGAATAATTATTTGTTATGCGGATGCAAGACAACGTATTCGAATAATATTGTCTTTCACCTTTTGCGTATACCTCGAGTGCGTGGCATGTAATTTCACCAGCCGACATGATCTTTTTGAGGTAAGAAAGACTTGAACAGGCATATCTGAACGGATACAGACACAGAGAAAACTGGGTTTGACGTGAAGGATAAAGACGACAGTATCTATACCAAGGCTAAAAAATTCGATAAACTATCTTGCGATACTGCGTTTAATACCTTACCATACTGCAAGTATTTGATGTAAAATAACGCTGATAATGTTGCAAAGCTGCTTACGTCGACAGATAGACATATCAAATTATTTGCATCGTATAACTAACAGCCGTATTAGACAGATTTAGTGCGAGGTCATTTAGACTGGGGTTTGGTTTGCAAAACATACGTCCACGATAAACGGCTTGACCAATCCAATGAGGTGTAGGTATAGAGAGCTGAAAAACATTGACGGCATTTTCCTAGCCTTCCTTCTTTCTAACTTTTAAGAAGAATTAATATATTTCGCGTTTGGTGTCTTTGATAACCGCCTAAGTCTGTTTATCGGTTCAATCTCACCCATTCCTGTTAGAAGATGGTCCTCCCATCCTTTGTTCACTTGCCACATGTGAAATGTTTTTAATGACATCTATGGTTTACAGCTTACAGACAACCGGCCTGGCCGTCAACGCGGTTACTTAGTAGCTCCATGTTTTTTGTAGTTTAATTTTCAGATGAAGTTTAAGCCTCATGGATTTATCAGGATATTTATAGCAATAAATCGATATAGAAAATGTCTTAATGCTTCCTTTGCTTAAAAACCACAAAAATGAAAATATGGTCTTATGTCAGGAAAGCAAAAGTGTAGGTAAGAATTTTTTAATATTTGCGCTGTGCGTGTTTTTTCGCATTATAAGGCGCGAATTAAATTGAATTTTGATTGAAAACATCGGTCAATGTCCTTCAATGGTGAATACAACTACGAAGTTATTTATAGGGTATCGGTATACCTTTCAGTTACAATTGAAGTACTACTAACAAACATATTCGTACCTTCAATTTTGAATGCTGTGAGCTACACGTTAAAACAATTTGAATTTTTGGTCTAGATTGCCAAAAATGAATACTACTGACGACCTTTAGCGGCAATTTTCCAAGTCCAGAAAGTTTCTTTATTACAAAACAAATTTGCTAGACGGTTCAAATAATGTACACGATGTGAAGAAAATTAGAAAAATTGCCATACAAGTTGCAAATTCGTGTCGAAACGAAAGGTAAACTTCTTTTTTAAAGCAGAGTCACTTAGCGCCCAGCTTAAAACTTTATCTGTAAAACTATAAAAAGTCACAGGTGACAGCTACCTGAGACTAATAGAATGAAATCCTACTGAGTTTATCTTAACATCGTTAATATATTATTATAAAAATTCCTACAACATTTGTTCAAACACTTTAGTAATTTTCGAAAGGATGGAGACGCACTGTAAATTTTTTTATATAATTTTTATAAGAAATGAAGTGAAATGATGTTTTTTTTAGAATCTGCAGCAATTTTGAGGGGTGACGCTGTACGCTGTATGTGTTGTTTTCTTAGATTCTTTGGAAAGACAAATTCTTTTAATAATCATAAGCGTATAGCTTTTCCCCTTAAATATTGATGCACCAACAACTATAGAGCGAACGGAGTGCTGAATCAGGTTTGGGCAAATTTTTTCTTCAGCGTGTCAATTTTAGTTTTCATAGCGGCATCGATTGAATGGATTAAGAGAAAGATAAAAATTAAAATTGTAATGAACATTTTATTTATCGCGTAACACAGTGAAAACAATATATATGTTATGCAGGCTTCAATCAGATATGGGTTAAAGAAAGAATAGTTGATATGTAATTCGCTAGTAGTTATTCAAAGAAATGCTTTTACATCTTTAACTTGTGTAATTTCTAAATAAATATATCAAGGTCAATTAATTATTAAAAATGCGGCATTCTGCATCAATTTTCTTTCTTTTTAAATCATTCATATCATGGCCTAATAAACCAGAAAAGTCGAGAGAAAAATTTCTGAATCATGAAAGTGCTGTCGAATATTATATTCAAAGGAAAATAAAGTCTAGTATGGTTACGAAACGTACACGAAATTAAATTATCTGCTCGCATGCACCATTCGCCGACTGTTTTACCAGAGATAAATACTTATCAGCAAAACCTTTTTTAATTAATTGCTTCGTTTGGCTAAAAAATTAAAACAGAACTTAGTGTTAGCTTTTTGTTCGTCATTCATTTTTTCGTCGACACAACGTACCCCTACACACCGTTCTCTATGCAAAGACTTGGCTTCTAAATTTTCTGTCGTTGCATTCGATGATGTGTCAGTCAAGGCTATACATTTTTAATTCAGTGAACTATTTAGTAAGTGTTGCCGTGGGAGAAAGTGCTATTTTTTAAAGGACCTATTGGCAATCATGCATGGAACAAAGCGGAAATGGGTTTTGTCTTAGAAATTAATAAGTACAATCGTTTAAAATTGCATAACCAAAGGTTTTAAAGAACCTAATAACGAACACAACTTTCATAATCTATAATAATAAAATATATATTCTTCATTAAATAGTTTAGTCCAGTTGACAAAAATTTTGATTAATGCCTAGTAGGTACATATACTTTGCAGGTAATAAGAGAACAAAAACTGTCGCTGACGGGTAGTTAACTCAATGTTGACTTATATATACATACTCATATATATATATATATATATATATATATATATATATATATATATATAGTGTATAAATTATATACATGTATATATATCATATATATATATGTCACTGTTAATTTTTTATACAGTTTGTCTTTTTAAAGAAACTAACAATGTCCTTTCAATCAAACTAACAATATATTATTTGTGTTTTTCCAGATGCAGTTTGAATGTCAAGAAGCCTTTAATTTTTGCACAAAAAATACTCATAAAACTGTTAACTGCATCTTTTCAATGCTTTTGGGATTTTAAAATATCTCCACATAAAAATATTAAAGGCTTTTATTTTGATATCAAAAAATGTTATTATAATAAAATACCGTCTTCGATTTTTATATTTATTAGTTGCAAATAGAAAGACTAAAAGTGGTAAAGTGGTTGGTTTCCATTGGTCGAATAAAAGAAAAACTTTGGAACATGCAAGCCAAAGTGGGAACAACATCGGGGGAATAACGACTTTCCATCAGTGATTTTAATACAACAATAATATTTGTGTGTAATAGTTGAAGACAGTAAAATATTATTCTAATTTAGATTTTTAAATATCAACAAACACCAATAACTATTTATTTATTAAAATTTTAACTTGTGGTGTGTGTCGTTTTGTACATCTCTTATTGTTCGCATTTTATTTTCATTGATCTATTAATTTATATGGATCATTTTTTTCGAATTAATGAAGTTAAGATGAATGATATTAACAACTAAAATGTGGTAAAGAAATTCGTTAAGGTAGATCCAATACGTATTGAACGCTATGCTATTTGCTATCTCATTATTTTAAAAACATCGTACAGGGCAACAAATAGAATTGTAAGTAAATAAGTGGGAGCCTAAGCGACGAAGCATATTTACTGTAACGATTTTTATCAACTGATGGATGGCAATGCACAAAATATGTTTCACGGAAATCATCAAGGGTAGGTATCATATATATCTTCTTTTCCATTTTATATGCTAAATATAAAATGTAACAATTGACTTTTTTTATAATTTTCAGAGACCCATATTATCGATATGATCCAGGCGCTTCGCCGCGGGCTATGGGTCCTCCTGGCGGCTATCCACCTCGGCACAGGGCTCCTCACCCTTTGCAGCAACAAAGTCAGTATCCTGCGTATCAACCTACGCCAGAAAATATATATGGTTTGGGAGCAGCCGATCAGCTTGCCGGTATGGGTATGGGCGAATTAAGTGGCTGGGGAGCTGCACCCACAGTGCCCGGACAAGCAAGTGCTTACCCCGGAACGGCTATAGGAGCATACGGCCACCCTCAAGCTGGTCCCTCCACACAACAGAGACAATCCTCATCACAGCCAAGGTCCGACGTAATTTTTAAATTTAACTTGTTTTAAAAAAAGTGTTTAACGGTCCCGCGTGGAAAAGGGGAAATGCATAGGGGAGCATAAATTTGCACGCTGTTTTGATCTTATTAACCGAAAATATCTGTAAAAGTCTGGAACACTTATTTTAATAAGTATATATCAACACCACAGTAATATTGCTTGAACTACTTTTTACTCTCAATAAGAGAGAATATTAAATTTGTTTATTTGGTTTACATTTACTTGACAGCTTACAGGCGGACTAGACTAAAATATCAATTAAGTATGTAAAATGTGCTCAACAGCTTTAATTAATTACACTATAAACAATAAACAATCGGCATCATTTATGTAATTTACATCGAAAAAAGAATCCCATACGGCAAATCGACACATGTCCGAAGATAAAATCATATAAGAACTTTGTTGATATTGCCAAAATTCATGAATTCAAATATGTTGGAGAAGTTTAGACAAGTATTTGTTTTGATTTTAATTTTTTAATCGTTATAGCTATCGTCAACACATGCCCGCCTACGGTCAGCAAGAGCAACAAAAATTGCCCTATGGGCCACAACAAGGAATGATGAGTAGTTTATTGCAGCAGCCCGGGTCTAATGTAGGAGCCGGTGGTTACAGTGCACTCACTCAGCAGCCTCAACAGCAGCAAGCGACTACGGCCCAACAGCAACAACAACAAAGCCAACAATCACGCCTGCCTCAGCATTATCCACAGCCACCAACACAGCACCAATTGTATCCAGGTGGCCCGACACAAGGACAATCTGGCGGGCCAAGCAATGTACCTAGCGGTCCCCAAACTTATAGCCACAGTCCTTATACTGCATCCATGCATCAGCAGACTGGTAGAAGTAGCTATGGACATGCTGGCTTAGATCAATCTAGTTCATACAGCCAGCATGCGACAACTGCTCCTGTATCGGTTCCCAGTCACCATCTCTCCGGTCAGCAACAAGTTGTTCAGCTAGGAGCTCATCCAGTTGCGCACATGGGACCTGGCCCACAACAACAGCAACCACCGACGGGTTTGCAGCATGGTGTAACAAATTTAGGACCACCTCAACAGCAGCAAAGTTCCGCGCATCTACTACAAGGCCAGCAAACACAGCAACAACAGCCACAACAACAGCAGCCACCACAAAATCATGTTGGTCTTATGAACCAACATCAACAGCTTCCTCCTCCCCATGGAATGGCGGTACCCAGCTCATACGGTGGTCATCATCAACAACAGCCACAACAGCAGGCACAGCAGCAACAACCACCTTCCCAACAGCCACAGGTAGGAGGAGCACCGGCGTACATACCATCTTCTGGTAAGCACCAAGCAACCGCTTCGCCGCAATACAGGGCTCCCTTTCCTCAACTTTCCCCACAGATGTCTCCTAGGCCGCCTACGATGTCCCCTCATCCACAAATGTCACCTCGTCCGGGTATATCGCCAGCGAAGCCACCATCTACTCAACAGCAACAACAGGGAACGCAATCTTCAACTCAGCAGCAACCTCCAAGTCAACAGCAGCAACAACCTACGCATCATAGCATCTCGGGAATGGTAGGTTTAACCTCACCAAGACAACAAACTTCCACGGCAAATAGTGGAGGTTCAGTTCCTGGTTCAAAATCTGGAGGAGGCGGACCACCCGTGAATACCTTGCAAGCTTTAGAACAGATGGTAATGCCGAGTCAAAGCATGTCTGGAGGTACTCTTGACTATCCATCACCATATCGGCAATCCACTGCAGGGCATGGGCCAATGGGGCCTAGAATGCCTGTTTCGCCGCAACACCATCAACAATGGCCTACACATCTAGCTCTTCCGCAAAGTCAACAGCCCATGCCGGGCGGGAGTATGTCCGGTCCGCAGCAAATGCAACATCAACAGCAAATACATTCACAACAATCGCAGCAAATGGGCATATATGGAGTTCCATCACCAGCCCAGAGTCAAATGAACCATCAGCAACAACAGCAACCAGCGCCACAATCATCTCAGACACAACCTCCTCCATCGCATGTTCCAACTTTACAAACTCCTGCCTCAATGAATCAAGCACAAGCATCGCAACAACAGCAGCAGCCACCTCAACAGCAACAGCAAGCCACTTCTCAACAACAAGCACAGCCTCCTCCATCATCACAACAACAAACTACGCAACATCATCATCAGCAGCAACAGCTAAATGAACAACTCCAGCATTCCATTAACGACATTGTAGGTAACACAAGCAGTTCTCAACAGCAACAGCTTCAATCTGCACATCCTTCAATGTCGCCCATGCATCATCAGCATCAGCAACACCAAGCACAACAGCAACAACAGCCACCACTTACTTTGACGTCTTTGCATCACCATCATCACACAGTACATCACCAAATGCCTACTGAAAACTTGTTGTCTGGACGCAGCACATCATCGCAAGACACACAAATGAATTCGAGTGTCACAACAACTAATAATCAACAGCATCATCAACAACATCAAACGCATTTGCAATTACACCAACAGTCACCACTGCATAATAGTGTTCCTCCCCCTCATTTGCAACAATCATCTCCGCGCCAACACCAGCAACCTACGTCATCGCATCAATCTCCTCACCATCCACACCAACAACAGCAACAACACACACAACCACAGCCTTTCAGTTCTCAACAACAGCAGCAACATCAACAACCGCAACATCAGCAGCAAGTTATGGGGGATCCATTTTCTTCTATGATAGCAAATAATAATGCAACAGACTCCGGGATTTCAGTCCAAAAGTTACAACAACAGCAGCAATCACATCAGCAACAGCAACAATTACAGCCCCAACAACAAGTGCCAGTGATTTCGGCTACATTGTCGCCAAGTCGTGTATCTTCACCTTTAAACACTTTGTCCAGCACGTCAAATCAGCCGCAAATTCAGCAGCCACAGCTGCAGCAGCCCATCACCCCATCAACGCCGACACAACATCATCTAATCAGCGGTATATTGAATGAGACAGCTAACTCAAATGATTCTTCTACGTTAGCAATTGCAGCCAACGACAGTAACAATAGTAGCAGTAACAGTTCAACTAACAGCATCGTCAATAATCAGCCGTCATCTTTACATGATAGCAATTCTCAAAGCTCAATTAATAGCGTTAGTCATAACGCCGCTGCCACACTAGAAAGTAGTATGGGAGCCAATAGTGGTGGATTACTCAATTCCAATTCGAATTCTGCAACAAATGCTGGGATCGGTGGTGGTAGTGGTGGAGGTCTTTTGGAAAGCGCTGGCGCAAGCATTTTCGATAATAACTCAATGTCTTCAACAAATGCTGCTGTGAATGCACCCGACTCTGCTGTCCCTATTGCAGCTGCTATTTTGGATACTAGCTCACAAACTTCTTTTATTGGTATGGTTGATGCAAGTAACGTGAATGAGAAAGTCATTAAACCGATTGAAGGTGAAGAAAATCCTGCAGAAATGGAGACTGCAGGACAGACAGCAATCCCTGGTGAAATTTTAGCGGAAGAGGCAACAGTAGGCGATACAATTCCGAGGACTAATAAGGAAGAATTGCCTTTAAAAACAAACGAAACGACTGAAGACATGGGACAGACCAGTAAATCGAAGGAAAGCGTCGCTGGCGCTAATTCAGAGACCTCGAAATCTACCGACCAGTTTGGAAGCGACATAGCGGACAAATCTGAAGCTTGTAAACCTATGGTGGACGCAATTACTCATAGTGAGAAATCACAACCGATACCGTCTACACAAGATCAGCCACTGTTACTTCCAAAAACGGCAGCATCTGGATCGCATTTAATATCTCATCAGCAGAAGCAGCAACAACATCCTCAAGGTATTGCTGCAATGATTACCCCACATCACGTAATGCCGTCTGCACCGGGTTTACCTGCTATGGGTTACGACGGAACCGTAACTCAAACTCAAACACCAATACAGTCTCATGCCATACCTTCTACACACGGCATTAAACAGCCTTTTGGTTCAAGCCATTTAAGCTACCCCCCATATCCAGTTTTACATCAGCAAGAAATCGCTGCCTTACAACAGCAATTGCAGGAATTGTACTGTATGCCACCAGGCCAAGATCATCAAGAGAAAATTATGCGGTTACAAGAACGTTTAAATCTAGTGCAACAACATGAAGTTACAGATCAATGTTCTGGGGGACCACAGTGTCCCCTTTATCAGAATATGCCACCTTCCTTGTATGGAACTTCGGCAGTGCACCAACCTCAAGTGATAGAAAGTCCACAGGTATCAAGTACAACGGGCAGAGGGCGAGGAAAAGGAACAAATAAACCTAGAAAACCTCGCGTGAAGAAAGGTGATAAGATTCAGGCTGCTAGCGAAAATGTGACTATCAGCGGGAGTGTCGTGCAGCAATCGAATGTAATACCACCTAATCAACTACCCGTATCGGAGGATTGTGTTACTCAAGGAGCTGGGGATACATCTGTAGTCGGTTTAATGGAATACCATGAAAGTGGGTTGGGTGATCATTCTCAAGACGTACATTCTGCGAATGAATTAGACACTTCGACGGATGCTATTGGGAAAAAAAAATCGCGGAAGCCGCGTACTCCTAAGGATCCCAATAAACCACGCAGAGAACGTAATCCTAAAATGAAAAAGTTTAAGGGATTAGAGGGGGCTGAAGGAGGAGCCATTGAAATATTACCTCATCAAGGACGTAAACGCAGTAATAATGGCGGCGCCCGCAGAAAGAAACTCCCGGAGGATAACGATTACGATAGATGTGCTGAAGGCAGTGAAGGTGAAGATAATAAGCCTTTAGTGCTCAGATCAAATGTTAATGATCTGGAAAATGAAAGTAAACCAGAAACTACCACAGTGGATGATATTAAGACATCGTCTATAGCTGAAGGTGAGACTCCCGATTATGATGACATACCAGTTTCGAAGATACCAAAAGGTGACGATGGTACTGGACATACAAACGCCGAAGTTGGCGACGAGACAGTTGACTCCGTACCAGATTCGGCAGGGGATGCAACTACTACACCAAGCAGAAGAAATAAGAAGCGTTCAGCACGCGGTCGTGTGGACAACGACGGTGGCTCTGGGCGTCGACGATCCCAGCTCTCCGCTAAAGCTTTAAAAAAGCGCAGAAATCGTGGTCGTATTGTCCCGGAATCCGACGGTGAGGACGACAATTTAGCATCCACGCCACCACCGTCACCACCTCCTGATTCAGAACTAGATACAAGTAAAAGACGTTCATCCCGTAATACTCAGCGCAAGAAATATATAGATGATGTAATGCTACGATTTTCGGATGAAGAGACTACGTCTTTAATGAATACTTCACCGCTTAAAAAAGAAAAGAAGACTGTAAGTATCGCAGTTCCTATATGCAGTGCTTCTAGTGATATTGAGAAAACTGAGCAAGGAGCTTCAAATTCGGGTGGCGAAGGGGCAGCTAGTGATCTGCCCTCCACTAGTGATGACAAAATATCGATGACCGGCGAAGATGGTGGCGAGGGTAGTTCTGGAGCTACATCAACTTCTACAAATGAAAAGTCCGAAAAGCAAGAGCTAGTAGTTCCCACAATATCAGCCAAGCCGAATTATGTGTACATAAACACTGGCGATGAAGATAGTATGGTGGTGCAGTACGTATTGGCCGTGAGAATGGGCAAAAGAGAATTGTTGCCTGATACACTACCAGAGCCACTTAAGGAAGAGGAGGAAAAAGAAAAACGGATTAGTGAAAGAAAATCCGAGGAACGCCCCGAAGAACAAGAAAAAGCTTTAAAAACGAACGAAGAAAAAGTAGAGAAAAAGGAAGGGGTAAATGAGGAAATACAAAAGGATTCTGAAGTAATAAGGCCTGATGAGGGCAATGTGAAAGAGACGAAAGAAAGTGAAGAAAAAATAGAAATAGAAGCGTATGCAAAGCTAATCGAACTAAAGGAAGAAAGCGAACAGCAAAATGATAATAAAAAAATTGCTAACGAAGAAATTAGTAGTTGTGACAAAGTCGAAAAAATGGATGTAGACGAAAGCGAAATGAATTTAAAAATTGATGAGAATGAACAAAACCATTATGCAGATGAAAAAAAAGACGAGAAAGAAGGAAGTGATAAGATTCCGGAAGAAAAGAGCAATTCGGCTGAAATTATTGACTCAGCGAAAAATAGAATTGATGAAAAGGAATCCCAGTCGGTAGACGTTAAAGTCGTAAAGGAGGAAAAGTTGGGTGACGGTTCTAAACCAGAGCCAGTATTCATAGAGGTGGAAGAATTTTTAGTTAAATACCGAAATTTTTCTTATTTGCATTGTGAGTGGCGCACTGAGGAGGAACTTTATAAAGGCGACCGAAGAGTTGGAGCAAAAATTAGACGTTTTCAACAAAAACAAGCCCAACAAATCAACATATTCGACAATATTGAAGAAGAATACTTTAATCCTGACTTTGTGGAAGTTGATAGAGTTTTGGATATGTCCATTCACACCGATGAACAGAGTGGAGAAACCACTAAACATTATTTGGTTAAGTGGAAGTCCTTGCCCTATGAAGATTGCACTTGGGAACTTGAAGAAGACGTGGATGCTGAAAAAATTGAACAATATTTGAAGTTTAATAAAGTTCCTCCACGATGCGACTGGAAAAATAAAAAGAGGCCGCATCCAGATCAATGGAAAAAATTGGAGAAAACCCCTGTTTTCAAGGGTGGCAATACTCTAAGGCCTTACCAGTTAGAAGGCCTAAATTGGTTAAAATTTTCTTGGTACAATTCGCATAATTGTATATTGGCAGATGAAATGGGTCTCGGTAAAACGATACAAAGTTTAACTTTTGTTCATTCCGTTTACGAGTATGGCATACGAGGTCCCTTCCTGGTAATAGCTCCTCTTTCAACTATTCCCAATTGGCAACGTGAATTTGAGAGTTGGACGGACATGAATGTGGTGGTTTACCATGGCTCGGTGACTAGCAAGCAGATGATACAGGATTATGAGTTTTACTTAAAATCCGAAAGCGGAAAAATTCTTAAAGAACCTGTCAAATTCAACGTGCTGATTACTACTTTTGAAATGATTGTAACCGATCACATGGACTTGAAGCCATTCAACTGGCGGTTATGCGTCATTGATGAAGCTCATCGTTTGAAAAATCGGAATTGCAAGTTACTGGAAGGTCTAAGGCAATTAAATCTTGAACATAGAGTCCTGCTCTCAGGCACTCCTTTGCAGAATAATATGAGTGAATTGTTCTCCTTGTTGAACTTTTTGGAACCCAGTCAATTTTCTTCAGCCGAAGAGTTTATGGCTGAGTTCGGTAGCCTACGTACCGAAGAGGAGGTAAATAAATTGCAGGCACTACTGAAACCTATGATGCTGCGTCGTCTTAAGGATGATGTAGAAAAATCATTAGCTCCGAAAGAAGAAACCATCATAGAGGTGGAATTAACGAATATCCAAAAAAAGTATTACCGTGGTATATTAGAACAGAATTTTGCCTTTCTAAAGAAAGGCACCACTTCTGCCAATATACCAAATCTCATGAATACTATGATGGAGTTGCGCAAATGCTGCATACATCCGTATCTATTGAACGGTGCTGAAGAGCAAATTCAATACGATTACCGAGTACAACATGGCGAAGACCCTGAATCCTACTATAAAAACCTTATACAATCAGCTGGTAAGATGGTACTAATTGATAAGTTACTACCTAAATTGAAAGCTAATGGCCATCGAGTGTTGATATTTAGTCAGATGGTTAGATGCTTGGACATCTTAGAAGACTACCTGGTTTATCGAAAGTATCCTTTCGAACGTATAGATGGTCGTATACGTGGTAATCTGCGCCAAGAAGCTATTGATCGTTATTCGAAACCAGGCTCCGATCGCTTTGTCTTCCTTTTGTGTACCAAAGCGGGCGGTTTGGGCATTAACTTAACTGCAGCTGATACTGTAATCATATATGACTCCGACTGGAATCCACAGAATGATTTGCAAGCTCAAGCTCGCTGTCATCGCATTGGACAAAGAAAAATGGTTAAAATATATCGCTTACTATGCCGCAACACATATGAAAGGGAGATGTTTGATAAAGCTTCGCTAAAATTAGGATTGGATAAAGCCGTTCTGCAGTCTATGAATACACATGCTTCCAAAGATGGTAGCAACAAGCAGTTGTCAAAAAAGGAAATTGAGGATTTGTTGAAAAAAGGCGCTTATGGTGCCGTTATGGACGACGATAATGCTGGAGATAAATTTTGCGAAGAGGATATTGACTCTATATTGCAAAGACGTACTCAAGTGATAACTATGGAATCGGAGAAGGGCTCTACATTTTCTAAAGCTTCTTTCGCTGCTTCCGGTAACCGATCTGATATTACAATTGACGACCCAGATTTCTGGACCAAATGGGCAAAGAAGGCAGATATCGATCCAGAAATCTGCGAACGGGATGAAACTGAAGATTTAGTGCTTTCCGAACCCAGGCGTCGTACTCAGATAAAGCGCTATGGCCATGAAGACGTTATGGACGTAAACTCTGACGATTCGTCAAATGAAAACAGTGATGAGGAGGGCGGTATAGGTTTGCGATCGACAAGAAGGGCTCGAAAGGAGAAACGGGATCGTTGTCGTGAAAAAAAAGCTAATGACGATTACATCCCGCGTGAACGAGATGCTTTGGCGGCCTTAGGACTGGAAGAAATACAATATGGAAACTGGGCAAAATCAGAATGCTTCAAAGTAGAAAAAGGCCTTTTGTCTTTCGGGTAAGGAATATACCCTCTTTTGATTTTCAGATTATTTGGTTTATGTATAGCGTATTAGTTAAAACAAATATAACCAAATGTAACGAAAAATATATCACTTAATATATTCGCCGGGCAAAATTCTTGAACTAATTCTACGTTTGCATTTTCGTTGAGTGTTATCTAGTTTCATTTCCAAAATATAGATTTTTCGCTTTAACATTTTTTCTTCCTTCTCCAGTACAAGGACCTCGTCCTTCTTACCGATGTAGTCGTGCACACTAGGCGCCTCATATCGTTCCAACTGTACTTTCAAATTATTTAAAATTTCCAAGTCCTTATCATTTTCCAGCTCTACCTGATTGGCTTCCTTTTCTAGTTTACTTATCGTTTTTATAACGTCCAAAGTTTTGTTATTCAGTTGCTTTGATTCTTCTTCAATATTCATCATTACTTGTTTTTCTTCAGACATGGAAAGGGACGCCTTACCAGTTACGCCTTTCAATCCGGCCATATGAGTATTTTTCTCCTCCAAAGCATTTACGAGTTCGGTTCGTTTAATCATTAACTTTTCGAAGTCAACGGAAGTAAGAATGCCACTTAAGTCAGCTTTGGTTAGCAATTCGTTGCGTAATTGCTGGCAATGTTCATGCAGGGCTGTAATGCGTAACCGCATGGTGCTTAATAAGGCTCTAGCATTCTTCAACCAGTTATTAACAAATTTTCTAATTTTACGCTCCAATTGCTTCTCAGTGGCTGTGTTAAGGAAAGCTAAATCCTTGTCGTCTCGCATAAAATGTAGTTGAAAAATTTTTGTCGTTTCCCGGGTCTCCTCATACATGTAATGTATCTCTTCCATATGTCCACGAAGAATTTTAATTTCTTTGGCAGCTGCAAAAGTTAGAAGAGTAACGAAATGTTTGTTAAGCAGTAATTTTTATTTTCTTACCAGCTCTCTCAATTTCATGCACTCTTTTTTCGACTTCGTTTGCTGTCTTTTCGGCCATATCTGCTTTGGCCCGAAAGTTCAATTTGTAATCCATGGCTGTTTTTTTCTGATTGTAAATTGTATAAGTTGACATTGTTACTGATTTTGTTAAAGAACCCCTAGTGCGACCTCCAGAACTTGCTATTGATAATCCCGTTGTATCCTTTTGCGCACGTCCTGTGAAGATCTGCGACATTTGTCGCGATTTTCGTTGTTGTAAGCCTATCAGCAATTTTGGATCGTTTTTTTCCAAGAAGTCAATTAGAAAATGATTCTCCAAGCGGGCTATAGCTAGCTCACGATTAACATCGCGTAGAGCAGCGAATAATTCAACAGCGTCAATACTTGCCAAACGTTCTTCTTGTTCTTCCCCACTTAACTGAAAAAATGTATCCAATCGCAAGCTATTAATAAAAGCTTCCAAGGCAATTGACGTTTCGGCTGATTGCTGCAACTTTCGTTCTCTGTGCGACATCACAGCCAGACTACGCGCTGATAACATTTGCGTGCCTTCAGAATAATGGGAAGACGATTGGGAATGCATGCTTGCCATTATATTTTCTTGTACCAGAAGTTCAAATTAAAATTTTTTAATGAGCAGAGAAGTTCTTTATAAAAATATATATTTTTTCTTTTAATTTTCGATACATCAGAAAATTAAACTTGACATTCAAAATTTGTGGGTTCTTCTACGCTATTCCTGGAAAATGGAGTATATCAAGTTTATGAAGCCATAAAAATATTCATGTTTTTTTATAACATGTCGGTCAATTATGACTTATAGTATAACATTTGAAAACCGATATTTTTTTGTTTTTTTTGTTGCATAATTAATTGATGACTATTAGCAGGAAGTAATGGTGGCACAACTTATCTGCATACCAACTATAATATCAAGTCGACAAGCACAACATTTTGTGTGTTCCACATTTGTGTTTAGAGAACATTTTTCACTTAAGAAATAAATTCGTGCACATTTTTCGATATATTTTCTGTATCAATCGTCTTTTGGGTAATTACAGTTTCGTTCGTAATTCCGTTTTTGTTCGCAGTTTTTATAAAGAATACGCCAACTGACTTCAGGTAAATTTATTCAGAACATCGCAATGGTGGATAGAATATACGTAAGAAGGCTATGACAATAATAACATGAAAGATAAAATAAATTATAAGTTTACATTGGCAAATAAAGTTTCCATCGTTTTTCAGGTGGGGTCGGTGGCCTGAAATTCTGGACTTGGGTCAATTCAAACGAGGATGGCGTGAAATCGATATTGAGGATTGTGCCCGCATAATTGTAAGAAATTTATTTATCGCCTATGTGCATTATTTTTTCGTACTCACATGATGACCAACCATGCTAATATTGAGAAAACTTTTAGGCTTTCGCTGAATAAAAATTTCTAACTTCTCATTTATAAAAACTGATCATTGAAAATTTACACACACAACGTTTTCTAAACAAGATAAATGAAATCAAAACTTTCTCTTTTTTGTTGCAGTTACTTTATTGTTTACAAGTTTATAAGGGAGATGAGAAAATCAAAACGTTTATTTGGGACTTGATTACTCCCACCGAGGATGGTGAAATACAAAAAATCAGCAGAGACCATAGTGGTCTGCATAATTTAGTGCCACGAGGTAGGAATGCAAAAGGTATGGTAAACTGAACACAGTATACAAGCACGCACAAAGTACGCAACCGCACGGATGTAGTTAAAAGTTGGAGTAAAATGTATAGAGGAAAACCGAAAGAAACCGATCTCGCAACACAAAATTTATGTTTGAAGATATCGAAAAAATTGTTTAACAGAGGTTTCATTGCAAGTTAACTATAGTTAGATCTAGTTAGTTAGTCTAGAAAGTTATTTTTATAATTTTTTGATTACTAACAGCGGGTGCAACTCCAAAGAGTGATAAAAAGTGTTCTATTTTGGCAACTTTCAAGATATTTGCAGTTTACGCTAACTGTCCGACCAATTCATTTAAACAGTGGTAGTCGGAAAAAGCCCTGTCTGGTGAGTAAGCCATATAGGCTACTCCTTTACTTTAAAGTGCCTGCGACGTGTTGCGGCCTTATTTTCACGTATATGATGGAGCAATGTCTTCGAAAATGATGGCCTTCGGTGCAGCCTGTTTGTAAATTTTGGACTTTTTCTAGAAAACAAATGGTTTTTAATTGATTAATTATTGGTGGTAGTGTTCGGTATTAATTTCACCAGGCTTTAATATCTCGCACACCCTTCTAGTCGCATCCAAAACAGAGGATCGTTTTATTGTCAAAGTGATTCCGTTGCAGTCAATGTGGACGGCTCGCCTCTATATCCTCGATCTTTGCGCTTGCAATTCTCCCAATTAATCTACTCAATCCATTCCCTGGAACGATACGATGAAGAATTTTGTTTCGTGTCATCATAACAGTGGCTCCAAACTTAAAGCTCAAATTTTTTGAAAGAATAACTCAAGTTTAACGCAGACATCAGCGAAAGTGTCTAAAAATAACCCACAAAGTGGAATCATCGTAAATTAAACTTTGTTTGCAATTCTAAGAATTTTTGTTGTAAATGGCAATTATTCATTGTTTTGTTCGTTATGTCGTCGTTCATAACTTAGTTGTCTTATACATAAACCCAAAAATTTTTAGATTAATAAAATTTCATAGCAAATTTATTTTAATCCGTCAAAACAAAACAAAAATGTGTTGCTGGTATTGATTTCTATATGTTTATCGAATCAATAACTTATTTATCGTATACTTATTGTAAAAACGTAAAAATCACTTCTTTGCTATTTAAAGAAACTTTTTTTGCTTTGAAAATTAATTTTTTGTACAGACGTGTTTGTAGTACTCTATGCCTTGTACCATATCTTTCAACCATAGTATAAAAATGTAGTCTTAAATCTAGTGAGAATTACTATAGTTATCTATTTATTAATTATCATTAAAGAATTTGACAGACTTAATAAATGGCATATACAAACTTATACACTTTATTTTGTACACTACACTGTACATATATCAAAACTTTTATCAAAACTTTTCACATCCATAAAAATATTGAAGTGTTCGAAACTAAAAATGGTAAAAATAGCAACTAACTTACATTACCTTCATTAAAAACGTTAAAAGCAATTGTTTTTGGTTTGTTCAAATCGTTCCCAAGTTTGGGTTGCTACTTATTATGGACAACTTAGTGTCCAAAATCTTTTTATATTATATATATTTTGGTTTGAGTGGATCTGAATAAGGACTCTAATGACTTTGGTAAATAGTGTATTCTTGTCTGTTAAAATTGCTTGATCTTCTTAAATTTTATTTTAAATAAACAGAGTGACACTCCGTTTAGATGGACTTGTACACTAAAACCTTGTAGAAAAAACGTTATCCATATTTTATAATTAAATAAAAATCTAATTTTTAGTTTTCCTAACTCTCTTCTCATTTATAAGGTCGCAATGGCGGTAAAACTCAAAAAGAATTTCCAACGGTAGCCGGGGCTGAAACAACTCCTTTAATTGTTTCACCAAACAGCACTTCGCTGGTTACCATTCCTACTGCCACTAAATCAAGTGTTGCCATTATTGAAAAAGAGCCGATTGTAAGATCTCCACAAAATCCACAAGATCCGAATCATTGGAGCAAGCAGGACAAATACGATGCTGATGCATACTTGGAAGGCGCTTACAAAAAGCATTTAAGCAGACACGCGAATAAGTGAGTCGTGTGGAATCGAATTTTTTGATATTAGCTCCAACAGAGAATATTTTTATAAATTAATCCAACTTATTTGTGTTTCTTCTCTATCCCTTTTTGTTGCTCAACTTTTATAATACGTGCACTTTCCATAATTTACAACGAATATTGTTTTACCTGTACCTTTTCCTCTTTTTTTATATTGTTTAATTTTATGTTTAAAAAATTTACTTTTATTAGAGTTTTGTTACGTGTTCGCATGCTATATTATATACAACACGAGGTGATCGGAGATCTAGTTCAGCAGATCAAGGAAAATACTCCCGCCAGGTAAGCTTTGTTCCTAAAATTTTCACTTTTATTTTTCTTCTTTGAAAGTTCTTAAATTTAGCAAGAAAAATGACAAAAATATATTGCAAATTATATCCAGTCTTGGGCAATAGAATAACGTATTCATTATTGTATTTGCTATTGAACGCTAAAATAGGAAATGCTAGATAAGTTTACAGTACTCAGAAGCACGCATCGCAGATTGATTTCAGTATACATATTTTTTTCATCATATCGCATAAATTATAAATATATTCAAGAAAGAAGAAATAAACAGGGTAAATGAAAACATTATTCTCCGTCGTCCACACAATATCCAAAACAACTAAAAAACCGGAGAGGAATTACGGGAAACAAATAGAAATTAATGACAAATTATCACTAACTACAGTAGGTTATATATCATATTACTCAATAAGTTTCTCGTATGACAAATATATGGTAATACTGTTGGCAGGCGTGTGTGATCCCTGGCTATTTTTTAGTCGCTTTGGACTGGTTTCATGGTTACTGTCTACTTGTGTTGCTGCCGATTAGACTTTGGAAGTTTATAATGAACCCTTTTCATTCGTTATACGAAATCTCATGAAAAACTTCGCCTAACGAGTGCCAAATAGCGATTTGAACTTCAATCACTTTGTAAAGTAGAAAATATAGTGCATCTTTAAGGCTACAGTGATTTCACGAACTTTTAGTCATCGGTTTTCCAAAACGATTTGGTGCACCTTTTCCATGTTTTCTGAAATAAAATTTGAATGCACATCGTTTGAAGACTGATATTATCCAGAAATCACATGAATTTTTCAACAGTGAAGCCGTATATATGTTAGACAGCAGATTTATTGAATGATGTGTTACGTGGATATAGGCATGTTTAAACTGGTTAGTGGTTAGTTACTTTTGTGTTGGTTGCTAAAGTAAAATTGTTCTGGCCGTTAAATGTACGCTTATTAAATGATGCCTTATTTAAAATGCCAATTTACTAAGTGTAAATGTCGTTCCGATCGGCGAATATAAACCCACAATCCACAAAAATAATTTTATGATTATTTGTATCCAAAATTGATGAAGACCCAATATATTTGTTTCAAAAATTTGCAAGAATTTCTTTAAAGAGTTTTCTATCAGCAATTTGGCCAAGTACAATTTGGCATAATGTTTTTTAAATATTAAAATATATACATAGACTTATACATAAAATGTAATAGATAGAGTGAATTGATACCGCGTTTTGGAGTTGATTTCAGGATGTCTATAGGATCATTTGCTTTGTTATAACAAAGGAAAATTTAGGCAGTCGCAAACAATGTAAAAACTTGTATGCAATTGCTGGCTAAAAATAAGTCTTTTTCTCAAGGACAAGGCGAATTCTCGTAAATATTTTGATCTTTATTTTGTCGATATTTGTTAGACGTAATAGCGGGGCTAAGTGAGTACTAACAGAAGAAGAGAGCTAATGATAGTGTCGCAGATGTGTTTCCATCGTTTTCTTTATAACATTACTTTCAATGTGTCTTTGAAGGTGCAGCTTTTCCATGGTATCGCCTATAATTAGCAGCAGACTTCGCCGCTCGTATAGCTTGGTCTTGCTTAGTTTGTTTATGATGCTCCAGGCCGAAGAAGGGATTCCGGAAAACTATTAACGCAGACAAACTATCAGCAAAAACAACAGTTTTGAGTTTGTTTGTTTGATGCAGCAGAATGCTTCTCCCGAAGCATTTACCAGAAGGCAGACTGTAAACTTTCTAATATTTGGGTTTTCTCTTCAATTAGATTCCTGAAGACGTAATCTGTACCATCTTCTTTTTTCTAGATAGAGAGTGAAATGTCACAATGGTCGCGTTTCAAAATCCGTAGAGGCTTAAGGTAAACATTGCTGGACATTTTTGGGGGAACTTTCTATTCCTTTGCTACATACAAACAGTAGTTAATTGTAGATGGTGACCTTTTAATTTTTTTCGGCAATAACAGCCTTTTTTATATCTTCTTTGTTTGAGTTAAGAAGTTTGATTAATTAATAAAGTGTATTTTCTAAAGCTGGGAGGCCATTTTCAGCTGTGATGAATTCCCCGTCTCCTTTAAAATAGACTTTTTTAACTGAAAGCAGTGTGGTTTCCAACGATATTTTTTGGAGGATGAACAAGCGAGAATTACACATTTTGTATTGACAAATTATTAATGCGCATCAGGCTATTGTCTTTGTTGCATAGGCACGTTCTACAAATATGCTTTTTTCTAAATTCTTATATTCAAATTTTCGCACCTGAGCACCTTCGCCCAAATTAGAATCTCTCTCACAATAGATGTGAGGATTAATTGTTTTAGTATTATCTTCTCTTTTTGTCAAAATGTAAACATTGTTCGCGTAGAATGTATGTTCAATTCTCGGTGTGCAGCCAAGGATATCGCTTATTTTATTGAAAGTAATCTAAAAAAGCTAGCAGAGAGTTTGGACAATAGTCCGATGGGACGTATACGTTTTTAAGTTCTGGCATTGGAATAACTACCGCAAGTATCCATATATTAGGAATGTGGCCAGTCAAAAAACACTGCATTACTACATAGTTTCAGTAATTTCTTTTTACTTGAATTAGTCAAGGCACTGCTCGTTTGGCATGAAAGCCGATCCAGATTGGGTGTTCTACCTTTTCACCATTTATTTTACGAACTATTTCTTATTCTGAGACATAAAATAGATAATCATATAAATATATACTTCGAGAAATAAATTTGTAGAGTTTTGGTAGACTCTTTCATTGAATTTGTATCGACTATTCCGGAAATTCTGGACTATTCCATATAGTTTAATTGACGTATTCAACAAATGTAGGAGTAAATACTTTCTCATGTCTTTCCTTAAATTTTTATAAGTTCTAAATACGGGACTACAATTAGTTCTGTATTTTAGATATGTAAGTCAGGAAAACGACTTTATATATACTCTTTATTTATTTTACTATAATGTATTTAATATCAAAATTGCTTTCGAACTAACATTGTAAATTTACGCTACTTGTAAATTACTTGAAAATTTTAATGACTTCTGTCATTTTAAAATTGTATTGCTAATATAACTTGCCGAGGATTTATTTTGTAAAGAGCAAGCGGAAATATATTATACGGAAACATGAATGTATTCTGGAGTTATTCTTCCGTTTACGTCAAATTCACATACCGGTTACAGACTTCATAAAAAATTATACATTCTTGATTAGATCTCTTCTTTTTGTGTAGTTTTTTTCGTCCTAAATATTTTATAAAATTCCAAACTTTGGTTTGCGATTTGAAACGGAAATGGAAAATCAAAGAAGATTAAGATCATAATATAAATCAATTTTTTTTTATTTTCTTTTAAAGCAATTGCTGAATGACTGTTTTTAATCAAATTTTCACTGCAAATTTGTTTTCATGTCTTTTTGAGTTTTTTCGCTATATTCACTACATTATTATTACTAAGCTTTCATTATTTTTTTATCGTCACATGTAGTGAGCTACCCATCCGTCCACCAACAATGGTCGATCAAGTTCCTGCTTCGTGGTGGAATCCGGCATGCTGCGATAAGAGTCTCTTAGTAGGCACCTTCAAACATGGCTGCGAAATGTATCGTCAAATGCGTTCTGATCCAATGTTGTGTTACGTTGGTCACGTTGGTTCAGCCGACGATGCGCTAACCGTGACCAATTTGCCAATGTAAGTGTACGAAAATCTAAATGTTAACCACCTTGCAACTATCAAAAGAATGTTGTTGGTTGGCTGTGATCTCGAAAAACGTCTAGTGATTTTTTGTACGTTTTGAAATGTGCCGTGTCTTTTAAATTATATAAAAAGGGTTAGACCGACCAAGTTACGCCCTATGTGACATTTTTCGTAATACTCCACCTATATGTTTTATTTACACAATGTAAATTCGTTTCTTAAAAAGAAGTGAGAATATCAAAATTTCTCATAAAAGTGCATAATTTGGTGTGATTTATCATATGAGCAATATGAAGTTACTTAAATTTGCTAGCAAGTACATATTTATCTACTTTATTTTCTAAACTAATTTTTAGTAACGAAGACGATGCCAATTCAAAACTTGAAGATGGTGATGAAGTCGATGACGATGGAACGGCTACCAAAGACTCCGATTCTACCAAACTTACTACAGGCGATAACAAAGATTCTCTTGATCCCGAACGGCCCAGCTCTTCGGGTAAGAATAAAAAATTGGCGAAATCGGCGACCGCTGACGAAGCAATTGTGGCCAGTGAAGACAAAGCCGACGATAAGGTGACTGTTGTTATGGCTGAAGATGAATACAAAAGAGACATTAACGGTAGTGAGAAAGATGATGAAAACGTTACGAAAACTGAAAGTGAAAATATCACAAAAACGGAATTGGTTAAAGTAGCCGTAGTTGGTGCTGTTATTATGAGTAATGTAATAGACAGTGCTAGCGATAGCAGTACAGCAGCTGCTACCGAAGCCAATTCCGTCGAGACCACTTTATCAGAAATAGAAACTACAAAAACATTAACAACTGTTGCTTCACCGAAGGCTGGCTTCATGGCTGATATTGCTACCGTTAAGGAAGCTTCAAATTCAGGCTCTAACGCCAATAATACATGCACAACCACCACCATCACCTCAACCATCACCAATACTACTACTATTGTTACCAATACATCCACATCTTCTACTACTACCACCACCAATACCATCACTTCATCATCTTCAACTTCTTCCTCAAATGAGCAAACGCAAAACGAAACTGTTAATCCAAACTCCTGTTTAGGCTTGGACGAAGAGGAGAGTGGGGCCGGATCATATCCGCCCACTCAAATACCTCCTGAAGATGCTGCAACTTCATGGCCTTCAATGCAAGATTTAAACACGCGTCTTAGGCGGGTCATTACCGCCTATCAACGCAACTATAAAAAAGAAGAGCTTAAACAACAGCAAAAAGCTAAGGTAAGCTAAAATTTTTTGGAAAAAAACCCATTTGCACATTTTGTACCTTTTATCCATTTACATTGATAAGGCGTTTTCAAGAGTATGAATATGAAGAGCACGTGTTCTTTTTTCTTTTAAAATGTGCAAATTGGGGTTTTTTTTATATATTATTTTTTCCGATGTACGTAATTTTGACTATTAGCATTGGCAATACGAACAATAACAAATTATGAATTATCCTAAGAGTAAAATTTGTTATAAATTTCTTTGAATGAGTAGTAAAGTAGAATTTTTTTGTAGAAATTTTGGAATATTATTAATCATATTGTAATTTAAATAAGAAAGAGTTTCGGCTTACGTCCAATTTTTCAATGCCCGTCACTAGTGTCCTTAAGACATATTATAGTAAAGTAAAAAGACTGCACTTTCACTCCATATATTGTATGCCGCATATTTGCATATATGCATATTTTGTATAATTCGAGAGCGTCTCCTCGGCATTTACACAAAATAGAAACCGTCATTGGAGAATCATTGTATTGAATTATTAAACTATCGATCCTGTCACGAATTGTTTTTTAAAGAAAAATTTGCGGCTTAGCTCTTCTAAACTGGAAATTTATAATTTTGAGGCCACAAAGAAGAATGCTGGCTGTTTAGTAATTGTGGGCCTATAATATCTCGAGAGAAATGGCGACATGTAAAGACAAAGAGAGAGTCTGCTATTCTCGAATAAGAAAACATTTTATGATTATAATCGTGATTTAAAACATGTATTATAATTTTAGCAGATAAATTTGAAATGAATCTGCTTTTCGAGGTAAATGTACAAATTTGAAATTTTACGGGACAAAATGTCGATTTTTAATTTTTCATGTATATCAATTAAGGATAAACAAGTGGAATAAGGAACGAGGAATAAATGAAATTCATTCACTGCAACGACGCAGTTTCAACTTTGAGAAGATTTGTAGAACTTTACCGCCTAAGGTCACGGTACGGGATTATAGGTACGGGAACACCTGTACGGGACATCACTGGTTGTCCCAATAGAATATGGTTTATTCCGCATAAGAAACATGGAGTGTACTTCATTAAGGCATTTAAATAATCCTTTTTTTAGTTCATACATTTATTTGTGTTTTGCTTTTCTAAGTTGCTTAAAGGGATTCAGCGATGTCTACGTTTAAAAATGGCATACAACATGAATACATAACTAGAGACATTAATTTAGAACAAACTAACACGCAGGTGCGTATTTCCGCGTCTTAGGAACATTTAATAGATCTTATGTAACACAAATTGTGGACGGTATAAAAACTTTTTTTTAACACAACGTGAGCTGTACTGAAACATGTAATATTATTATTAGCTCTATTATTTAGGGGGCATCGAACTTCGATATAGCTTCACAATTAATACGTAACTGCAGAATTGAAATTAGTCACTCTGTTAGATAGTTGTAAATTAAACGTTGTTTGTGCTGATGCATCTTAATTGCAACAATGTTGGTTGCTCCACTTACTTTAACATAAAGTAAGTCGAAATTATGTTAACCTATTGCGCTTCTAACAATTTTAAAGACCAATTATCATTTACTAATTATGTACCGACATTCACGTTAACTTCGTAGGATTTAGGAACAATGCGAAAGTAAATTTCCATAAGTGGGTGAGGAGAGAGTATTCTCATAAAATAAAATAAACGCAGATCGCAGCGTTGCAGACAATATTCAAAACTTCGCTCACGTTTAGGTTATTAAAACACGACCAACTAAGAAATTTGTATTCATTTCCATTTTAAAATTATATCAAAGATACTACTTTACTATTGCACAAAGTTGAATATAACAAATTTCACTAAATAAAATACAAAACATCTCAAAATTTGACGCTTTTCAATAGTTTATTATATATAAATACTCCACATAAAATGTTTGTTTACGTACATGTAGAATGCAATATAAACTTTTGTGGCATACATTTTATATTTATTTTTCAACGTACTCAGCTACAGGCTTTGGTCAGTACGACACCCCCACTTTCGGTGCCTACTACACCGACTTTGCAGTCGATGCAAATGCAAATGCAAAACGCCGCTGCTGCTGCGAGTAACAGCTCCGATCCCGGGAGCCGTAGTTTGCAATCACTAATACAGCACAATAACAATGTCGGTCCCTTAGCTACCGGCCCGAGTACGTCAGCAGCAGCTGCTGCTGCTGCCGCTGCTGTCCCTCAAACTATTGGTCACAACGTTTCGTTACAACATCAGATACAACATCAAACTACACAGCAACAGCAGCAGCAACATCAACAGCAGCAGCAACAAAATATGCAACAACAAGCTGCCGCAGCAGCAGCTGCTGCTGTAGCTACAGCTCCAATGCCTACAGCGGCCGACATAAGCCTAATGTTGAGCATCCTGAATACCACCGACGTCAGTCAATTGGCTAATTTGGACATCAACAAGCTGGCCATGTATTTGGTTAGTATGAACAATGTAAAGATCGACCAATTTTCTTTGTATATCTATAAAACGATATTATCACGACACAATCATCATCCTAATTGCTACTCATTCGAACACTCAAATACATTATCCTCGCGATAAATTTCAATAACTATTGCCGTCTTTCTACAGCTTTAAATAATTTCCTTTTTTTGCTCATCCATTTCTCCATTTCCCCTAACGAAAGAGTGGATAGATTTGCGTATACTTCAAATTACATACATATGTACCAATGTATAAGATTTTAACCCTATAATTGTATAAAATCGATATTTTTGTGTAATTCAGATACGATAGATACAAAGAAATGAGACAAAAAATTGTTAATCCTCCAAGGAATTTTCTGTATATGTGTGCGAGTTACTCCTTTTCCATACAAAAGGGTATTACCTTAACGCCAACGTCTGCCGCTAACAAAATATCCTTTATAGTAGGTCTATTATTTCCACTGTGCATATTATTAAGACTCCGAAAAGTGAAAAAACGCCTTTCCGTTTTATGCTAAATCGTTCGTTGACACCTAAAACAAATATTCGTACAGTTTGGTTGGTCCAATGAATATTGCTATAAAGACGCATATGTGTGCGAACAGATATAATATGCATATCACATCGTGCTCTCGCAATACTAAGTAAACAAAGTTTTGTTAGGCACGTAATATGAATAAAATTTCGTATCTACTTGTCGATGCACAGCGCTTTCAACCCTCCAAAAAAAGAGAAGCAAAAGAATTACTGCTGATAAAATTGTGAAAGTTTTTTGTTTTATTATTACTCAATATCAGAATCCGTCTCCGGCTGTGCGCTGTGTGTTCTTCTCAGGAGCAAAAACAGCAAAAGATATACTTATTACTTTTTATATTATTGTTGAGTAAAATTTGAATGTACTGTATACATTTAAACGAATTTGAGGTCTTTGTCAAAGTATTTTTGTATATTGTTAGCAATATTTTGTAGTAAAGCAAACTAAAATAATAGCAGTAGATGTATGCGTTCAGTTTATTAGGTCTTAAAAAAAATTTTAACTTACTGCATCTTAAGAAACTAAGGTTTCGCAGTTTCCACAATAAATTTCTGTTCTTGAAATATCCTTTATAAAAGCAATCGATGGAGAAGACGACAAACTCTTCCACTATTCACTAAAAAGTAGAAGACGCTCTAGCAACCAATAATATCGGCTCTGCTTTTTTTAACAGACAGATTAGATGGTTAGTCTAGTCGCTTTAATTCAGTTAGATATTTTATTGATATTACTTCCTTACCTTCAAGATGTCAATAAGGCTAGACGACGCTAGACTGGGTTTTGGAATATTCGAATTTGTCCGCGATTGTAAACTGGAGAGGTAAATTTCCTAAAGATCCATTGGTGTGTTGCGATAATATAAGGCGGATTCCTGCAAACGTTTTAGTCCTAAAAGGTTTACCATGCGAGCAGTGCGGATCATAATACTAGCCATTTTTTTTTTTTAATTTTAAGTATTTTCAAATATATAGTTGAAGATCAAATTTTTTCATTTTTTCAAATGTGCCGAAGCTGAGGATTTGGTCGGTGGACCTGCAAAAGGCCAATATGAGTCAAAATCCAAAAAATTTTAAATTTATCTCCGTTAGTGCCAATAGAATTTCTCACTTTATTATTAGTGTAAAAAGTAAATGTTGAATGTTATGAAGACCATAGATGTTCATATTAATTTACTTGTTCGAACCTTTGGTAAAAGATATTGTTCGAGCTTTATTTGGATTAAAGGCCACATGTAGCGGAGTGGTCAAGCCTTTTTTTCACCAGAAACAAGGAGTGACAGTTCAGTTAGCCACATGCTTACGGATTCATTTTTCGAATAGACAACGGAGCGATTTGGAAGATGTGAGTGATGGAAAATATTTTTCCGCTCATAGAGTTGATTATTGTGAAGAAAGCTGAGATAAGCGAAAAGGGACGAAAATCTGGAGTTTGTTCTCCTTTTCGGAGTGAGAACGACTTTGGTCATCCTTTGCTTTGTGTTTGTTTACCACTATGTGTGTGTTTCGTGGGGACAGAGCTTTAATCATGTCATATTATATGCCATCGCTTGCTGCAGCTGCTGTGTCTTTTTTATCAACAACATTTGAAAGCATTGTCGATCTTTATTTAATTTTTGAGTAAATTAAGGTAGATAAGGTTGTTGTCATAATCCCAAGGAGGACCATTGTGCGTCATTTGATCATGTTCTTCAATAAAGTGCCAAAAGGCCGTGGAGTTACCGAACTTAGAAATTTCGTTTCGCTGTGTAAATTTGTCTTTCTTGACAGTGTTTTGGAACTGCCGAATTTTTCTTGAAGTGTTGGAGTTATCGGGAAAGAGTTTTTGGATTAGAGTTCCACCGCGATTTTGGTTCATAGGAGATTGCCACAAAGGTATTAATTTTTGCCTGAGACTAACTTTTTTGCAAGAGTAATTTGAGTAGATTCAGATTTACCATCGAGCGAAATTTTAGACAGATTGCGAGCAACATCTTTCTTGGGTGTAATACATTATGTCCTTTGATGGAAAAGTAGGAAGTAAGGGAGCCGCGTCTGTTGTCTACATATACCTTTACAGTATCTCCCCAAAAAGCTAAATTATGACAGTTAGTAGGTGTAAGTCTAAAACACTATAATTTTGTTAACCGTGCCTGGCACTGAAGAAGGTATGTTTACCAATATTGAGAGTCGACATTTGAGAAGCGAGGGTATTAACCAGGACTTGTGTTGTACGAATCACCAAAAATGCAATTTTGAGGTTCGAAATCACCACATAGAATGACGTTTTGATGATAAAGTCGCTTATTTTTTGAGCATGACGGAAAGTAAACTTAGATGATTGTAAGATTAGGATTAGGGTTGGCAGTTTTGTATCTAGATCTGTTTCGATCGCTATATTTGTGTGTGAAACGACCTATAAGGAGATAGTAACCATTAATAGATCTCAGAAGCACTGGAACTACATGACATGGCATTGACGTTTTTTGAAAGGCGGCAATTTTTTCTACAATGCGATCTTTGGAAGTTTCCGAATTGAAATGGATTAGAGTATGTAAAAAATTGTCATATCTACTTGTTTTCATATTGTGAATTGCGGGCTTTTCAACAGCTTCAGTGTGCCTGTCCATTGTATCAGAAAAAATATTCGCATCAATAGACACGTGTTGAAAGATGTAAAAATACATTCTTTAACTTTGAAAACATCGGTGTTTGATTTATTTATTACAACAGGAAGAATTTTTTTTAGATTTTTATGTAAACAATGGATCTTTGAAAACATACCAGTGCTATTTATATTGTCATCATATACGTTATTGAGCAATTTAAATATTTTTCTGTCCTTTATTTTTAATTGTTTAGGGAAAGCAGGAAAAGCACTTTATGCCTAGCTTTGCAAATATTACTCTTATTTTTAGATTCCTTGCGAAAAACAATGCGTCGGCCAAAACAAAAGACGCGCAGATATGTGGCAAAGTTAACCATAAAAGTCTTGCCACCCAAAGCAAAGTTTTGTATTTTTATTAATTCCTCCAAAAAAGAAAACAACACAAACAGAATACAGAAGAAAAACAAAAAAGAAAGACAGTTTAAAAAAATTTTTCTTTTACGGTAAATAAATTTCTTAAATCAATCGATATAATTAATGTTTATATAGGTATATCTACGCGCGCTTAAATCGGAGAAATCGATAAAATTTCACTACTGAAAATGAATCAATCATTTCTCAAAGTAGCGATGCACAATGAGGAAGAGAAAATTATAGAGTGAATTCATGTGTATGCATGCACAAGTACGTATGTATTGTAATAGGTTCCCTCTAATTTAATATAAAGTCCCCATGTATGGAGAAGTTGCCGCTGCAGAAATATGGATAGCAGTGATAACAGGAATCTTACACATAAAGGAATTAAATGCCGTTTTTATACATTTCCCATTTTATTCTATTCAAAACTTAAAATGTTGTGCAATTTGCATACATATGTTACATACAGAAACATTGGAAAAAGGATCACATTCACTGCACATACATTGTTATTAAAAATGGGCTGAATCGGTTGAAGAACATGCTTACAGAACCATGTAAATTTTTCAATTGTCAAAAATTAGGTGTTTCGTCCATTGCTTATAAAGTATAATATAACCGATTTGTATATCGTATACTCTATCTAACACTGCCTACACAATAATTAGAAAAAAGGACGATGCTTATCCAATACTTTCGAATGTTTTTAAGAGAATGTTAGTGGTATAAAAAATTCAGACACAGCGGAATATAGTTTTCCGACTTGTTAAATATAAGACAAAAAGAAATCATAAACCAAAAATTCAGTTAATTTGTTTAAGCTAAATATTTCATCGTGAATTGAAATGCTTTCCAATATATGTTCCACATTGTTATGTCCTCCCTTCAATTTGGGTCATAGAAAAAGCAAAAAATAAACTGCCTTTAGCAATGAGAATTAATCCATTTATAGATGTACCCACTTATTTGACTTGAGTTCATTTTTTAGAAATTGCACAATTATTCATCAGATATACAGCGAGCCTCCTTCATATTTCGCTCGACAAAGAGTAAACGCTTGTAAACTTAGTCCATTGTCCAAACATACAAATTTTTTTTTTTAGTATTTTGTACTATTAGGAATGCCTATTAAAATATTAAAAAAAAAACAGTATTCCAGTAGACAAGAAAATTAAATAACTTCAAAAACGTAGCGTCATTGATATTGGATCTTTTCCATATAAGGAAGGATACCAAGAAAAAAACAGCATATTATTAAAAATTAATATTTGAAGGGATAGCATTTTTGCTTAATAAGGTCATTTAAACGATATTTTGTGTAATTTTTCTTGTGTAGGAAATAGAGATCTTACTCCACTCTTCTTATAGTCTATTTTTCAGGTCTTGGATGGAAAAAAATTTTTTTAAATTTTGCGTTGCAGTACGCCTTAAAAGTTGCAGGGATTAAATATATATTCTTGACTAACAAT